AACAATAGAAGACATAACACAAGGAGCAAGACTCTGCAATTTCTGGAAGTCAAAGGACATCACAGTCGGCTGCGGTGATCTATTTCCTTTCCTAATCCTTCTCCAATGTCACTCCCCACTGTATCTTCAAACAAAGCAATAAGTTTCTGGATACTTACTACATGAAAGGCACTTCTGAGAATGCTAGAGACTTCTACCTTCAAGAAGAGATAAAACACAAATAGCTGGTACATAAAGCAAAAGATAGTAAGTGGTAAGAGAGGCAAAAAGTATATAGGCTATAATGCTATTGCACCCTTACTGGCTTTCAAGGAAAAAAATACATCTTCAACTGTTAAATACTGTGAAGACCTCAACAAAGTCTGTTTTGGTTCTCTATTGCCTGATTAAAATTTAATGGCTTAACGCAATCATTCCATTTTGCTCACAGTTTTGTGTGTCAGACATTTGGATGGCTGTCCCTGATCCATGCATTGTCAGCATGGGTGGCTGACTGTCTGCAGGTCCACTTCCAAGTTGTCCCCATCACTTATGTGCCTGGCACACACATCTGTGCTTATTGGGGTGTGTGTGTGTGGAGGGGGTGCCTTCTCTAACTCTGTCCATATGGCATCTCATTGCCCAGGACCTCTCTGCATGGTTTAGGCTTTTACTAATGTGGCAGCTTTAGGGTATTCAGAGATCTTTCATGGCAGCCAAAGACTCTGTAAGGCCAATGTAGAAGATATCAGTGCTCTTAAAGGCTAAGTCTATAATGAATAGCAACACTTCTATCATACCCTTTTATCCAGAGACATCACAGTTCAGCCCAGATTCAAGGGAAGAATAAATAAACTCAGTGGTGGATTAAAGATGACTGACACTCTTTCCCATCAAGGGAAGAGTGTCAAAGAATTTGCAGTCATCTTTAATCCACCACTGAGTTTATGATATTCCATGAAATATAAAAACTTGTTTTTCTTTAGAATCTTCAATTAATCCAATTTTACATCATAAACTCAAGGAGGAGGCATAATTAAGAAAAATCATCTGTTTTGTATTCCTCGTTTGGAAAAATATGAAAAATGTTCATGAAAGGAAATGATAGCCTTGGTCTAAATTGTTCCTAAAAGACTTTTAAAATCTTTTAATCTCATTTCTTGGATGGAGTCTTGAATTGTTAGAGACAAAACAGGGAGTTGGGTCTCAGCCTTTGCTCTTTCCACATTTGAAAAAAAAAAAAAAAGAGGAAGCCAAATGCCAGATGAGATAAGACCTTGGTCACAGAAAGCAGGGCAAGTGTCACTAACAGAACTGGCTAGAAGAGAGATTGCCAAAAGAGAGAAACCAGACAGATCTCCTGTAGCAACGAAAAAAGTTGACAATCTCTAAAACAATGTTAAGTACAAATGGAAAGAAGGCAGGGGCAGCAGAGAGCAAAGAATCTTCACAGAGACAGGGTTCCTGGGCCAGACTCTGATCTCCAGGGACCCCAAATCTGAAGAATGATAATACAAGGGAGGGAACTAGAAAAGATGCCCTGGGACACCAGGACGTTTACCCTTTGGTGACAGCAATTAGTGTTATGAGAAGTAATTTGATTTCAGATATATGTGGTATACAAAGTCAAGAAGGTTTTCTGAGAGTTTTGATATGGGTTATGAGAGAAAGAGAGGAGTCAAGGATGGCATCAAAGCTTTTACACGAACAACTGGAAAGGTGGAGCACATTTTCAGAAAAGATAGGGAAGGCCATTTTTATTATCCGAGGCCTGACCTGCCTATTAGATATACAAGCGGAGATTATAAGGAGGCAATTGAATATGAGTCTGGATTTCAAGAGAAAGAGGCAACCTAGAAATAAATATTTTAGAGCCATCAGCACATAAATGGTGTTTATGTCATAAGACTGGATAAGCTCACCTACAGAGTAAGTGAAGATGGAGGAATAAAAGTATGGGTGCTGAGTTCATGGGTGCTCCTAAAGTTGGAGGTCAGGGAGGAACCAGCAAATAAGAAGGAACTTCCAATAAACTAGGAAACAAGTATTACTGGATATAAAGAAAGTTACCAGGAAGGTATAAAATTTCTGAATTTGTATGAGCCTTAAAAAGTCATCAAAAATATATAAGGCAAAAATTGATAAAACTAGAAGTATACAAATCCAAAATCATAGTTGGAGATTATAATACAATTTTCTCCATAGTGACAGAACAAAGAAGCAAAACAATCAATAAGTATATGGGATATTTGATCTAATTGACAGCTAACAAAGAGGGGAGTGTGAGAGAGAGAGAGAGAGTGTGTGTGTGTGTGTGTGTGTGTGTGTGTGTGTGTGTGTGTGTGTGTGTGTATCATAAAGGTAACTGTTAGTTCTGAAAATGTAAGTCTGCCTGAATAACAAACAGGGGATCAGCAGTCCAGAGAATGGCAATAGTAATCACTACTAACCCTAGGACTTGAGGAACGAATGAGGAAATCATCTTACTGATGTCCAGGAACTAGGGCAACTGGTAGAAGCTGGATCCTCTGAGAATCTGTTCAGTGAGAGCTGGAGAAAAGACTCAGTTGCTGCCTGAGTCAGAGGAGGGATGAGATATGCCCTTTTACCTACCCTCCAATCTCCCACTAGTGCCATTTGCTAAATCCAATTGAAAGCTGATTGATAGGGTGTACCTGGGAAACGGAACTGCAGGGATTATCCCTCTTGCAACACAGAGCAGAGCGCAGAGAAGGGCATGACATGGACGTGAGACAAATCAGGCAAATGGCCAGCACTCTACCCAGTGACTTGTCCTTCATCCTTAGAGCAATGAGGAGTCATTGAAGGGTTTGAAGCAGGAAGTCACAATCTGATAGGCACTTTTTACACCTGTGGTATAAAGATTGAATCAATGGTCATCAGGACAGTTGTGAGGCCATTGCGTTTGCCTAGGCAGAGATTATGGTGACTTAGACCAAAGTAACAGGAGAGGAGGGAAGTAGACCAATTTGAAACACATTTAAAAGTTAGGCTTGAGAGAACGAGAGACTGATGTCCTGTGAGGACAAGGACAACACCCAGGTTTCCATTATGAACAACAGGGGAAAGTAGAAGAGTCATTTGCTGAGATGGAAAAAAACAAAGAGGAAACATATTTACAAGAAAGATGGTGAGTTCAGTTTTGATGCCTACAAGTCACCAAAATGGTGGGGTTCAAAGAACTGATTATCTGAACTTGGAGTTCAGGAATAGGATCTTAATGGGAATACACATTTAGAAGCCATCAGTACATGCCTTGTGCCTGAAACTAAGGGAATGAGTGAGATCACCTGAAAAGATTGGGTATAGTCAGAAGAGGTCTGGGTTTAGAGAAATACCAATATTTAAAGACAGATATAAGAGAAGTAAAACAAAAAATATCAAAAAGAAGTCAAAGGAGATGTCAGAGGAAAATGTATCAAAGAGAATATGATGCCAATAAAGAGAGTATCTCAGAAAGGAGGATTCTACCTGTGAAATGCAATTGCAAAATCAGGGAGATCAGAACTAAGACATGGACTTAGTGATATTATTTCTCCTGAGGTTTGGGAGAAACTCAGTTGGATTGTGAGATGAGGAAATAGTGACATCAAGTACGAACAAATAGTGTAAGTTTGCTTGGGAAATGGAACTGACAAATAGAGCAATAGTTAGGGATGGGTTTCACTGGACAATAGGAAGCCATTATAAATTTTTGAGCAAGATAATTACACAATGAAAAGAAGACTTTGAAAATGTAATTTTTACCAGATTGTGAGAGCATATGGGGTAGCAAATATATATTCACACCCCCAAGATTCATTACTCTGAGTGCCTACTGCTTTGATTTACAGGGAATGCCAACAAAAAAAGATTCTTCTTCCTCAAGTATATCCAGGGGTCCCCAGGGATGCTGAAATGAACTCATCCTGGTCATCACTTGCTTCCATCCCCATCAGAAGCACCCACTCATGGCCAAGCTGTTGGCCCGAACAGGTCCGAGCTGGTGCCATTTAAATCTCCTCATTCTCACCAGCTGGTCTTGGTTTTGAGGGTTGCAGCCACCAGCAGTGCTGCCAGAAAAGCACCCACATCACTGGTGTTGCTGCCAGAAGGGACGGAACTTGCAGCCCATCAGGGGCAGGGACCTGGTTAAACTGGCCATTTGTGCTGAGGTCTAATGGACAGGCAGACTTTCCTATAAAACAAGAAGAACTGTCTCTTTCTCACACTCTGTGCAATGTTTACTAAGAATAGTTGCCAGACGTTAAGTGTTGTCTGTTGGTTAGGAAGCTCTTTATGTACTTTAACTCATCTAATTTTCACAACAATCGTCTGAGGTAGATACGATTTTTATCTTCCCATTTCACAGCTGGGAAAACTAAGCCATGAAGAAGTGACATACTTAACCAAGGTTATAAATCTAATAGGGAGAGGGGCAAGGTACACATGCAGGCAGGTCTGCTGTAGATGTCAAGTTCATAACCACCACTCTGTACTGCCACTCGGACTTTGTGCTAAGACTGCTCCGACTGCCTGCCAGACTCTTCTTCCCCTTGTGTGTTTCCTTCTCGCCCCTTTTTCTGAAATTTGGCCACAGATTCTACTCCAGCTCATCAGAAATATTTTTATAGCTGGTTTTATGGTACAGGCAAATGGTCTCAATCTCTTAGTCCCATGCAAATTAGCAGGTACAAATAGACTGTAGAAGGGAAGGTGACTAATTCTACTCACCAGCAACACTTAAGCCCCAAATTAGCCAGTATGTAAGTATATCCAGGAATCAGAGTGGCCTGTTATCTAACTCCTCCCACCAGGAACAGAAGGACCAGGACTCCTACAGAACCAAATGTCCTATTAACCAAATATTGATCTGGCCAAGGTGTGATGGAGGAACCAGGAGTCTCTCTCCTCCATCACATAAGAATATCACTAGAGTGTCTGCTATTTTGCCTGCTAACCAAGAACAAAAAGTTTTAAGTCCATAGTAATCCTGTTATATTTACCTTTTCTCTTTATAGAGATATTTCAAGAACAAGGATCCATTCCCTGCCCAGCTATGGCTTAGAAAATCTTAAGAAGCTGAGGGCCAGGTCGACTTACAACTTAAAAAGACTTCCTAGTCTGGAAGAGCTTGTCGCCCTCATAGAAGCCAGCCTCACCTATCCCAGCCATTGCTGTGCCTTTGCAAACTGGAGACAACAAATGTGAGTCCATCCTTCGGGCCCTATTTGGGCATTTCCCCAGTGTAGAACTTACTCCACAATTTCTACCTATGTGTGACATGAAGAGAATCTACCAGCAGAGAGAGTTCCCTGTCTCAAGTTCTTCGGCACATTCTGGGTCAAAAATTCAGTTTTGTGGAGAGTGAGGAATGATTGAACTCTTTCATTTCTTTGAAAATGGGCTCACAGGGGATGGCTACCCATGGGACAGAACATATACCAATACTAATTGTGAAAACGTTAAAAATCCTAAGCATACTGCCTGACTCAGAGTTCGTGCATAGTATCTCTTCCTTCTTTGTACCATTATGGATTTAATCCTTCAAGTCCCAAACTCTGCACCTGATAAATGCCCCAGCCTGCTTTCATCCATGTCATCTTTGGCAGGGAGATACATAAATCCCATGCCAGAGACTGATGTACATATCTGCAGCACATCCCAATCACATCCCTCTCAAATCCACCTTGGGATCTTGCGACCTCACAGGGAGGACAAAGTTTAAGACATCTCGTTACTTTGGCTTTCAAAGGAAGCCAGGTTCAAGGAAGCCCAGACTTAAAGAGGACAGTCTAAACAGGGACAAGTCCTAGTGGCTAACTGGTTAAAAAAAAAAGTGAGGTAATCATAGACAGGATCTGGAGACAGTGAAGAGAAAGTCGCCTTGCAGATTGCACACACATTCCAGACACTGAAACGATCCATTGGAGGTAAGCACTTACTGAGTATCAGAGTTCTCAAAGCTCTCACTCTCCTCTGAGCTCACCTACACAAGCCACATCATGTAGTTGCACTCATCAAATGATGTCTTTTCATTACTCTTATACAATAGCCTAGAACTAATACAGCTTTCCTATGATATTATTTCACTGTTTAACAATCTCCTCCACTATTCAACATTTAACATACATTGACCGGTCTGTGTGGACATATCTCTTGCTCAAAAGCAAAACAAAAAAGGCAACAAAACAGTACACACTCTAAAAGTAGCTGGCCGTCTCTACTCAGACCCTTTTGGAGGATTTGTAGAAAAATGGCTGGTTTTCACAGTTCTCATGCATCACTGGGTTATTATCCAGAATGGGCACTCTTCATAGATTAGCTCAAGAGCCAGGAAATGTCTTCCCGATAACCAGAATTCTTACAGTCCTGGGCTGAAGCAGAGGTTTGGCTCTTTTATATTGCAGGCAAGAATTATTCTATCTAGAGTGAGAAAAAAACCAATTTTCCACCAAGTCCCTGGAACTGAATACCCTGAAGGAGAAATAAAGAACATTAAGAGTGGCCAGGCAAGGTGGCTCACACCTATAATCCTAGCACTTTGGGAGGCCAAGGCAGAGTAATTCCTTGAGCCCAGGAATCTAAGACCAGCCTGGGCAATGTGGTGGGACCTCTTTTCTACAACAAATGAACAAAATTAGCCAGGTGGGGTAGCACACGCCTGTGGTCCCAGCTACTTGGGAAGCTGAAATGGGAGGGTTGCTCAAGCCCAGGAGGTCAAGACTGCAGTGAGCCATATCTTGCCACTGTACTTCAGCCTGGGCAGCAGAATAAGACCCTGTCTTTAAAAAAAAAAAAAAAAAAAGTAAAGAATTGTTAAGGTCACTGTGAGAACAGCTTGCCATGTGCCATCTGGCCCAGTTCCAACACACCCCAATTTGTTATCTCATAGTGTTGCTCAGATTCCTCTAGACATGGCCTCAAGACTCTCCCCACCAGAATCTCCACATCTGCCTTATATTGTCCCAGGACATGAGATCTCCTCTGGTTCCCCCTGGCCACTCGGTGCTCATCCCTCTAGGCTGCTGCTGTAACTTACCATCCAGGCCTGTCAGGGTACTGCAAGGGAGAGGAACATGGTTCTTTCACAACACGCCAAAATGGAGTAACAAAATTGCAAAGGGTGCTTTTTATTTTCTATTTTTAGCAATGAATATTTGACTTTATCGAATTCACACACACACACAACACAAAATAATTACGCTATTCAGAAGGTAATTTCAGATGTATTTTTTCAATAGAGCCATTTCATTGTATATCACAGTGGGTGTGGTTTGGTAGTGGGATTCGAGTTTTAACTTGTATGATGAAATTATTCTTCTGTTCCTCATTTGGAAATAATGCCTAGAGTGTGAACATGAGGCCCCTGTCACTAAATCATTGGCCGTAGTCCTCCTGGACTCTTCCCACAAGTTCCTATCAACTACACTCATTTGTCATTGAACCAGATATTTCCCTGTCACAATTCTGTATTCGGTCTGCATTACTTTGCTCTTATTATTTTTTATTGTTAAATACAATAAAAGTTGTGTTTCTTCACAGCTCAATGTTGTGAAGGCCACTTCTTCACAAAGAAGAGTTAAATTGATATGCTGTGGCGTATGATTCTAACCCACATAGGGCCTAGACCTTGACAAGAATTCCATAAGTAACCACCGTCATGAAGAGGAACTTGTAGAAGCATCCACATTTTCACAACACAAAAAGATTCATACTTATGACATTTGCTGAGTACTCACTGACAAGCACTGTAACACTCTGTCTTTATCTCATTTAATTTCCATGAGGTAATATTATCATTCCTTTCTCACAGAGACAGAAACTGAGGCTCAGAGACACTAAATAACTTGACCTACACTGAGCAAACAGGTCCAAATCTGGTCTGCTGCCTCCAAAGCTCAGGCTGTGGGACACTGCTATGCCTCCCCAAGCATCTGTTCACTGACTGACCAGAGTCCAAGAATGGCACTTTTCAAACTGACCCTAAACTGAATTCCCAACTCCTTGTGACAATTAGGATTTTCCAAGGTACTACAGAGGCAAGACTTGATGTCACTCATTCCACTTTTGTTTCTGTGCTTGTCTCAGAGACATAAGTTATTTACCTTTCTCCTTACTTCATGTCAGTGGGTCACCTCTGTTTCAGAAAAGAGAAGCACAATATTTAAAATATGTGGACAGCAGTATCAACAATAAAAATCTTCACAGATGCTGACCATAAGCCCCAGGAAGTGAAGGCTATTTCTAGACAGTTAAGTCAGATCTAAGGCCAATGAACCAAACTGCAGTCAGCAAGTACCAGGTGACTTACTTTATCTTCCTAGAATCAGGCTGCAGCTAACTCACTGACAGGGTTTGAGAGTCCAGAGTTAGCCTAAGGACCACAGGATAACCCTCTTACCCCTCTATGCCCATTATGGAGCCTGCCTCACCTTTGATGGAAGACTGCTGACTAAACCAAAACATGTTATTCGTAAAAAAAAAAAAAAAAAAAAAAATCCCTTGGGCCAAGGGAAAGTGACTTCCTGGCAATTCAATTCACTCTTCCAGGGTTGAGAGAGGAGAGCATTCTTCCTAACAGCCCCTTCTCATCCAGGTGGATAGGGAAAGGTTCAGTCCATGTATAATAGGTTGGAATACCTGGCAGGACTCATCCTTTAGCATCAGATGGAGTCTTTACCTCCTCCACTCTCCCGGCAACCTCCTTCCTTCTTATGAGGGTTTTAGTACTCACTTCCCCACTTATATCTGAGATTATGTCAAGGTTTAAGGAAAACAGTCACTTAAAATTGCTGTGAACTTGCACCTTGGGGAAGGAGGGAAAGGTAGGCATGTGTATGTGTGATTTTTTTTTCCATCCAAAAAGCTCCCTCCGTAAAATATTCCTGTTCTATAAGCCTTTACTTACAAGTAGCAGTATTACCTTCCACGTCGCTACATGCAGAGTATTGACAGACACTACTCTGGAGTAGAATATTTATGGGTATACTCATGGATTGAGTATTTATCACCTGGATTTCATTCAAATCCCTCTGTACGTACCTCTATCCTATTGACAAGGCCCCTTGTACATTTGAGTTTAAAGGGAAAACCAAAACAGTAAAGTGAGCCCAAGGAGAGCTAGGTTCCCCAGAGGATGAGTTACATTCTTAGAATAAATTATGTCCTTTTGCAACTTGTACTTGCTCTTTGGGGAACTCACTAGAAAACTAACATGAGAGAGCCAGGCTTACGCTGCAGACAAACACATGCCTGGGGCCTATTGTGGCCCCCAGAAAGTGAGATAATAAAGAACAGGAAAGACCCTGATAATATTTCGGGCAAATTAGCTGGCCTCCGAATAGCCTGAGTACCAAAGAGCCAGGGAGTAGGGGCTGACTGGGAACTAGCTACAGATTCTGATCCCCTAATTTATGTAGATAAGAGAAGCAAGTAAGTTCTCATTTGACTGAGAGAACAGTCTGGATCTCCCAGTGATTTGAGTGTAGAGGAATAGGAGTATGTGCTACCCAGGCATATTAAGAGACAGCTGGATGGAGATGGGAGAAGGAAAAGGGCAGCCTTGATACCAGGTCTATAAATTATTTTCACTCAACAGCAAGGCTTAGTTTCAGGCGCCTTCCTCCCCACATTCAGGTTGTGGCAAGATGGTTTCCCCAGTGGGTCATCCAACTCTAGTAATATATATATACAAGTTGTTATATTCACTTACAGTAAGCAGCATTAACCCTTGAGCTTAGCCTGAAGGGCAGATAGGATGTGAGAAGAAAAAAAAAATCTCAGGAAGAAAGCCATCATTTCTACCCTGCACAAAGACAGTGATATATTTGCTATTCTGAATCTGAGATGTTGATTCTATTTCTCTTTGTATTTTTCTAGCTCTGAGCTTCATCCGATTTGCAACAAATCTATTTTAAGGCAAGAAGTTGATGATATGACTCAGGCTAAGGGTCAGAGAGTCTCCTCGGCAGAATACAATGAGTCCAGTTACAGCAGAAAATTTGACATGATGTACAGTGAGTTTGATTATGGCTTATGCAATGAAGTGGTTGATGTGACCTGCTACCCTGAGCCAGATGCATTCAACCCATGTGAAGATATCATGGGGTACAACATCCTCAGAATCCTGATATGGTTTATCAGCATCCTGGCCATCACTGGGAACATCATAGTGCTGGTGATCCTAACTACTAGCCAATATAAACTCACAGTCCCCCGGTTCCTTATGTGCAACCTGGCCTTTGCTGATCTCTGCATTGGAATCTACCTGCTGCTCATTGCCTCAGTTGATATCCACACCAAGAGCCAATATCACAACTATGCCATTGACTGGCAAACTGGAGGAGGCTGTGATGCTGCTGGCTTTTTCACTGTCTTTGCCAGTGAACTGTCAGTCTATACTCTGACAGCCATCACCTTGGAAAGATGGTATACCATCACCCATGCCATGCAGCTGGACTGCAAGGTACAGCTCCGTCATGCTGCCAGTGTCATGGTGGTGGGCTGGATCTTTGCTTTTGCAGCTGCCCTCTTTCCCATCTTTGGCATCAGCAGCTACATGAAGGTGAGCATCTGCCTGCCCATGGATATCGACAGCCCTTTGTCACAGCTGTATGTCATGTCCCTTCTTGTGCTCAATGTCCTGGCCTTTGTGGTCATCTGTGGCTGCTACACCCACATCTACCTCACAGTGCGGAACCCCAACATCGTGTCCTCCTCCAGTGACACCAGGATTGCCAAGCGCATGGCCATGCTGATCTTCACCGACTTTGTCTGCATGGCACCCATTTCTTTCTTTGCCATTTCTGCCTCCCTCAAAGTGCCCCTCATTACTGTGTCCAAGGCAAAGATCCTACTGGTCCTGTTTTACCCCATCAACTCCTGTGCCAACCCCTTCCTCTATGCCATCTTTACCAAAAACTTCCGCAGAGATTTCTTCATTCTGCTGAGCAAGTTTGGCTGCTATGAAATGCAAGCCCAAATTTATAAGACAGAAACCTCATCCACTGCCCACAACTCCCATCCAAGGAATGGCCACTGCTGTTCAGCTCCCAGAGTCACCAACGGTTCCAGTCACATACTTGTCCCTCTAAGTCATTTGACCCAAAAGCAAAACACAATGTGAAAATGTATCTGAGTGATGAAAGATACTTCAGTCTTGCCTTTGAAGAGTATGGCACAGGTAGCTGACAGTGCTTTTACACATTTCATCTAATTTAATCTTCCTGGCATATCTTTAGAGTAAATTGGTCAGGAACTATTAATTCCATGTGATACAGTGGGAAGCTGAAATATTAGTAACAACAATAATCATTAAAAAATACAATACTACATCATATGTTTTATCCTTATGTATGTTGTTTTTGAACATTATGTTCAAAGTGCTTTTGTTCATTTTATCTCTGTTAAATAAACAGGACAGGGAGTATCCTTAGAGTGCTTTTGTTCATTTTATCTCTGTTAAATAAACAGGACAGGGAGTATCCTTAGAGTTTTACAAATGAGGAAACCAGGACTCAAAGAGTTAAATGACTTGTTCAAAATTGTTTGGTTTGTAAGAGGCAGAGCCAGGATTAGGTATTCCAACTCCCAGAGAATTTCCAAGAGAAGCACCATGGTATTCACTCATTTATTCATTCATTCAACAAACATTTATTGAACACCCATGTGATGCCTTTGTAAGGTGTCAATGTGGATAGGTTTGAAATACTTTTCCCAGAATTCCCTTCCTCATGTGTTTCCAGCTAGGGTGGGCCACAGTGAAGACCTAGAAAAAGAGGGGGGCAGAGGGAAATGGCAGCCATTTTGTAGCTCGGCACACTTTGCTGTTGATGCTGATTCAGCTCACTGCTGTGAAGCAGCAGCTGGGTCTGCAATTGCTCCACCTTTCCCTGCATCCTTCAGGTTCACAGACTGGTCCTGGGCCAGTTGTATTTGTTAAGCCCCATGATAAAGGATCCAACTTCTATAGGACACTGTTATCACCAAGGTCAGAGGCAACAAGAATGTAAGCAGGGCTCAGTGTGTGCCTGTGGAGTTCTACCTGTGCTGCTGCTTCCAGCATGCTGTGATCTTGCCTTTATGATCACCCCAGTCTGAGGACATCAAGCTTCAGCATCAGCTGTGGAGACATCCTTACAAAGACAGCTTAACCAGTTCCCACAAATGTGTAGGCCTGCAACAAATATTGATTAAATTGACTGATTCTGATTCTCTACTTGAACCCTAACCCCTATTACATGACATGCATATGGGCTGTAATGCTAAGAACACAGCAGTTTGGAATCAGACAGCGCTGAGCTGTTATTAGGACTCCACAATAAGCCAGGACCTGACCTCAACAGGCTCAGCTGCGATTTCTGTAAACTAGAGCTGGTTATATATCTAACTTTTGAGCTTACTATAGGAAGTGGATAAGACAATGGTTGTGAAGTGCCTAGTTCTATAACTGGCTTGGTAAAGGTTAGTTTTTACTTCTCTCGTCCCAGACCTGTGCCTGAACTAGTGCCCTCTCCTGATCTTCAGTCTAGAACTCATTCCATTATAGCATATTGTTCTTGATAAATAACCATACTACCCACATCTATTTTATAAATGACCCCATATGGATAATTTGGGTCATAAATATCTACTATAAATTCCACCAAGCTCTGTGCCTTGGCTAGCACACAAAGCCCTGAGTCTCCTCTTTCAATGTCAGAAGCCAGTCCTTCTTCCTCTTATCCTTTGGCAAACATTTTAAAAGTTGATCCCAAAAGCATTAATGAGGAAGTCCTTACAGAGCCAGAAGAAAAATCAATCATCTCTTCCCATGTGACCTGGCACCATTTCCATATATTGTGAGCATCAAGTGCAAAATAAAATAATTGTCCTTGTAAACAGTCTAGAGCTTCACTGTCTAACACAGTGGCTGCTAGCCACATGTGGCTATTGAGCACCTGGACTGTGGCTAGCCTGAACTTAGATGTGCTGTAAGTGTAAAATACACACTGGATTCCAAATACTTAGTATAAAAAAAAGGAAAATAGCTCAATAATCATTTTATTGATTACATACTAGGACCATGTTGTTGGGGAGGTATCAAGACAAATACATTTAAAAATTAATTTCACTTATTTATTTTAAAGTTTTTTAATGTGGCTATAAGAAAATTTTAAGTTACGTATGTGGCTTGCATTTAAGATTTACAGTACACTTCAATTGGAGAGCACTGATCTAGGACTATACAAAAATAAAGGGCATTCAGCTAGCATTTTTCTTCCCAGCCCCCATGCACTCATTTGCTGCACTGTTGGGCTGTCCCAGCTCCAACTACAGTCATTCATCTTCCTTATTTTCAACCACAGGCTATGTATTTCTGAATTTGGAGTCAAAAGCAAGTGGCAGCTAAATTAAAAATATGATAGAGCATTAATTATTCTACAACATAGCTGCTGATGACACATCACTTTAAGAAATCGTGGCTCTGAGAGGCAAGACTGTGTTCAGAGACAAATATACAGCAAGAGACACTCAGAAGACATTTTTCCCTCACTATAATACTTTCTGGTAAGAGATGAAACTTTTCTCAAATAAGCAAACATATTTATGAGTAAGCTAAATTCAGTGCTTCTAAATCCTTTAGACAAATCTGAAAGGAAAGACAAACATCCTACACTTCCTGTATTATAATAAAAACTATTGAAATCCAGTGTATCAATCACTCTTCCTCCTAAAGGCGATTATACAGGTAACATCTCTAAAGTTGTACCTCCTGGAGTGGCGATCCAGTCCCAGAGTGGTGACCCAGAGGGAACACACACACACACACACACACACACACAAGTTTTGGATTAATACAAGTTTGTTTTTTCCATTTTTTAAGTTTTTATTGCAAATCTCAAAAAACATGAAGGGGACAATAGCTCCCAGAGATTCCTTAAAGTACCCATATCTCCATGGGTAATACTGAAAATATTAATAACAAGTGCTGATCTCTCAGGATGGATATCAGCTGTGAACATTTCATTTGGCCATCCTGGTACAAACTGAATGAAATCCTTGCCTCTTATCCCTGATCACACGCTGGACCTGCTCCCATGTCTATTTCCTCAAATTTTCACCCATCATAAATTCCTTCAGCCCCATCCTGGAAAGCCTCTCATTTTGTCTTCCCTTCCCCCCACTTTCCTCCACATACTCCTTTGACTAAATCCCAAGAATGTCTGACAAGGTAGGATCCTCCTTGGTGGGGTCAGAGCAAGGAGACTGAATGAGTAAATCCAGAATGAAGGAGCAGAGAGAAGAGATGAACTAGATACATGAGTTGATCATCAATTTTTATCTTGTCGCATACAGATGCAGTAGTTCTGGTGAAGGGGATGGGATGGGGGACACCAGAGAGTATTATTTCACTACAAGGCTCCATGTGCTAATCTTGAGGAACCCTTCAGACCTTGTTTCTGACAGAATAAATGGAGAAAGGAAGAGAATAAGATGAAAAGCCCTGGCACTTCCATCGCCAAGATACTGCAACTCTTACCACAGGCGGTACTGTGCCTATTTAGGTCAGTATCACATGTCATTAGAAAAATCAGAAAAAAAAAATCATTGAAACTGATGGCCACAAGCTTTAGGTTCATAAGGTATTTTATTTTATTAGGAAAGTTGGTAATGGCACAAGCAGGGAATAAACTTTCAGCTATTGCACACTAAGGGACAGTGAAGAAAGAAGACAAATATATAGGATGTGTTGTTTGTTTAAAATGTAACTGAATCCATTATAAAGACTAAATAAAAGTCCACACAAAATAAACCTCAACTATTAGGTTGTATTTGCTGGCCCTCATCAAAATGCTTTCAGTGGCAAAAAGCAGAACTCTAAAAAAAGGACAGTTACACATAAAATGCTCCAGGCTTGGATTGGTAGCTCAATGATCTCAAAGACCCAGGACCTTTCCATCTTTTTGCTCTGCCATCTTTGGAATCTTCAGCCATGTCTTCCCTCAGGATAGTATGTTGCTGTAGCAGTTCCAGATGCACCAGGCAGACATGACCAAATCCAGAAATAAAGAGATGTCTTTTCTTCTGTGCATCTCTCTTTTCAAAGGGATTAAATTTCTCCTTAAAGCCTGTAATAAAGCCTTCCTTTCTATTCATTACCTAAGATTACTGCCCTGATCAAGAGAAGCCACAAAATGAGCCTCTGCCACATTCAGCCTCAAGTGGAAGGCAAGGTCTGCCAGCAGAAAGATGAAAGCAGGTACTAGAAGAGGGGGAATGAATGGGTAGGCAACCTCATCCTCCAACCCGAGTCAACCCAAATCCTCTCTCATGGGGTGAAGCCAGTGGGATTCAAGATCAGGATACATATGGCACCTTTACACCTCATATCTCCTGTCTTCATCCCTCTGTCCTCCTCCCTCCACCATAACCTGCATTACAGCTTCTTCTCTCCATGTAGTCTGTTCCATCCCTCCCTGAAACAAACCCTAGAAACTACTTAGATCTAAAGGCAACCACTAGTGTCCTACGTTGTCTGCAAAATCCTGTTTGAGAATAGGAGTAGAAAAGGAAAAGAAGAAAGAAAAGAGACAAAAGAAAAAAGAAGTAACAAATAAAAGAAATGCACTAGGATAGGAAAGAGGAGACATGAGAGAAAAAGAGAATGGCAAGACAAATATCAAGGGGAGGGGTAATGTGAAAGAAAGCCAGGTCCTAACTGCGTCTCTTTGTGCTACTACTTGTTCATCTTTATCTTAAGAAAACATATTAAACTTGTTGCAAAGAGTTCAACTCCAAATGAGCTCATTCTTAGATCCCAGCAGAAAAGCCCAATGTACATACCATGATGGTCTAGGTTTCCCATGCCTCCACATACCATGGTCTGGGGTCCCCAGATCTAGTTCAAAAAATGAGTAATAGAAAATATTTCTGAAGATATTTAAAGTCTCCTTGTGGGAATTCACTCAGGGTGGTGGCAAAAAATATTAAGGGGAAAATATTAGAGAAAGTTAAAGAATATAGTCTCAAACCCTTTTGGAAGGCCTAAGGGTTTTTTCATAGTTTCAGTAGAAGTTTCAGCTGAAGGCAGCCTAAATCCCCTTTACATTTAGTTAATAGTAAAGCAAACAGCTAGAGTATGTGGGGGAGTTTACCTAAATAACTTATTTACTCATGTAGTCTTAAAACTAACCTTTGAGCCAAATGGACCTCTGGGAGGTGAGGTAGTCAACCAGGGAGATTACCCTCTAATGGTATTTGCTTTGGGCATGGGAACATGTCCTTTAATCTTTCACTCTAGAGGTATTGACTCAAGCCTTTGTTAATTAAACTTTTGTGAATAAATGTGAGT